GTTGGCATTTGTACAACACAGGTAAGGAAAGACATAATGCTACACTACCTTCCATGATTCAAGGACACAATCATTTTGCAGTGAGTAATGCACACTTTGGCAGACACTTTTAATTGAAGATCCCATCAAAATGCCTTCACACGCCTCATGCTTGATCACATAAAAAATCGTGTAAACCCACTATCAGTCCAAGCCTATGACATTAGCAAAACACATGGAGTCACTGCCTTAATGCTATTTTGATTCACATGAACCATTGATACTCAAATTGCACAAAAGAGAGTTGAGATTGGAAGTTCTTTCAAATACTAAAAGCAGTAATTCGGCTTATCTATACCGCGAAGTAGGCGAAGTGGAGTGGAATGTTAGAGTTGAGCAATGGTCAGTGGAAGAGCAAATAAAGAGAAATGTTTAGACTCAGAGAATCCGTTCAAAGAAGCGGGCAGCGTTGTTCCTGATGACGCTTGATGGGGCCTTTCAATTGGCGGTATGCTCGCTTTTAGTGGTAGTGGTCGTGGTGATGGTTGTGGTGGTGAGGGTAGTTGGGATGATGTCAGATCGGACATTGCTTGACCCATTTACTACGAAGGTGTCGGAGTCCAATTTCGTGGCTTCGTGAATGGCTTTGTTCAGTGCCTTTAATAAAAGCAATGAAAATGATAAACTGGTGCTGAAAATCATTGTACTGTTAATTAATAAGTAGGTAATCTTGCCTCGTCTTCGTTCACAGTGGTGTCAGCTGGGCCCTGCCACCCGCTTTTCTCGGCACTATTGCCGTGGTGAATGCGCTAAAACACCCAACAGCATAAGTTTAAATCCCAAAACTTGAACAATGTTTACTTTTACAAGGAGCTTACTTCCTGGGGAAGGAGGTCATTACACTCATTCAAATTAGCTATCTACTTACCGTAGTTTCGAACCGTTCCACAGACTCCTTGTGGATGGTTGTGACCACCTTTCGTTGCTTCTGTATAATCTTTTTCACTCGCTGACCCTCCTCGTTCGTATAGTACTCCACAGTCACCTCTGGATCGTTCTCTTCCGTCTGTTACAGAGTAAATTCACATCAAGGTAAGACAGATGCTACGTACTATTGCCTACCTAGAATAGGATAATACACACCGTCTCCAGAGCAAAACTTTACGGTTAAGCTGAGTCTAACGTTTGGAGAAGTTACAGTATCTTCGAAGTTAGAAATTTGGTATTTGCTTCATAGCTGTACTGCTGGGCTACCTCATAAATTGGTGTTAGAAAGAGCCTAAAAGCATGAAACATTCGAAAAACTAGATCAGCCCGCAGTCTTGTCCAGGGTTCCCAAGAATTGAGATAGCGCGTCTGTTTGAGGTGACAATGTTAAGCTTAATTCATGTATATAGGACTGTGTGACGAAATTCTGTTGAACAAATCAACAAAAGGAACGCTTCTAGAAGTTGTAAATTTCGATTTTACTGAGAAAACCAAAACAATGAGGTATAGGAGGTATAGGAGGCATTTTAGATGGTTAATAACAAATTTGCAAAAGTTCAGGACTATGGCTTATTTCAATGAGACGTTGACTTTTGTATCCGTCAGTTACCGTTTTGGTTATTCAATGTAATGGCAAAAAATGTATAACTATCAAGCAACTTAGTCCTGGCCATCACTAAGGGAAGCATTAGGAAATATCTAATTTCAGTAGTGTACCTTTTCATGGGAAACTTAGCAGGAAAGCTGACGAATGTTACCCTTGTGCCACCACAGCAGTAAATGCAATCGGATCTCCACGTCAACCTACCCACAGCTTTAAAGCATAGTTCTAGCAAAAAAAACTATTCTCTCACGTGATCTCCCCTCACATGTAGTAAAAATCTTTCAGTCTAAACCTGACAAGTAGCCAAATCGGGCTAATCTTGACGATTCAATCATAGCTGATTCTAATAATGCATCTTTGAAATCAACCTAGTTCCAATGAGTTGGATCAGTTCTCACCCCTCCATATGATATTTCACAAAGGAATGGCGAGTCCGATACAGAAGTTATTATCTATATTAGAATGCAAGAAGGTGAGGTCTTCTTTTGTCGTCGTCACTTGAAACATTACTCTAAAAGTCAGTAAACAGACATGACAAGTGTGTAGTCATGCTCATACCTTTTTAATTAGTAAATTGTGTTACCCTAATAGCCCAAGGGGTAAGGAAAACGAAATTATGCGAGAAAAGAGACGAATATGGAGACTTACTATCCTCTGGGCGTCGGTGCGAGTGCAATTAAGGGGAATGTCGGTAGTTGACTGGTGCGGCGTAGCTTGAGGAGTGCGTGTGGCACCTCTATCCTGCTCCTCTTGGACATCTATTACGGTATCCTCATCATCCTCCTGATCCTCTCCCTCGGTGCTGCAGTGGCCGCTCGCACGCCTCTGCCTGTCGACTGGCGAAGAGTCAGACGGGTAATCCTGGTGTTCGCGCGACGCTACCGTTATTGTCACTCCAGGATAGCGGATGTCGCTCTCCACGCGCTCCGTTGTCGCCTTCAGATGGCGAGGAGTAAAATAAAATGAAGCATCGTGCAAAAAGAGCTGGAAGAACTAAGTTAGATTACATGTGACTGTGTAAACACAGCAACCTAATTCATTGTGTCACTAACCACGGTCTAATAATCGAGACGAGTGAAAAGTACTGACAACTTGTTAGAGGTAAGACAAGTCCACTGCAAACCATTATGATACAATCAGTTTCCCATGGCCATTTCTCAGACAATTGAGAGTGACCTCGAAAAATGTAGCCATGTGAAAATTCTGTTTGGTAAAAATTGCATTTAGAAGGTGTTTGCTGGAATGCCCAGGTGGATCTAGCAGAATGAAGAAACTTTGCACGTGAAAGATGAAGCTATGTAATACTATTAGACGACAAACTGACCAGAAACGAAGAGCTCAGAATGAACTGTTGCATTGTATTTTTTATCTACCATTAATAAAACTGATTCATAAATAGTCTTTTACACACACTTAGAGTGAAAAACAATTCTTGCTAAACAGGCAATATGCAACAGATTCT